TATGTGGCACTCCAGTCACAGCTGGCTGGATGCTCCAACTTTGGCCACAGTGTACTCCTCTTAGACAACATCGCAGTCACATGCTACACTAAATTAAGCAGTGAATCACGGAACACAGCACAAGCCAGCACTTCGTTTAGGGGTATATGCAGGTGGTGCTGCTGGGGTTGGGGTCTGGGGTGCCAGGGGAGTGTGGAGCGCAGAGGAGCTCTGCTTTGCAGCCAGCTCGTTATAGTATAGGGCAGATGTGCCCATCCCAGAAGGGATCTGAGACCACGGATGCCCCAGGCAGGGCCTAGAGCATCTTGGTGACTGCAGAGGTGAGTGCGTGGGAGGAGGTACCATGGCAGGAAAGGGGCAAGGTCTGGACCCCACTGGGTGGTGGCACAGGCTGAACTCTTTCATTGGTATGGTTTTATGAGATGCATAGCATTCTCTCTGCCTGAGTGGCCAAGGATGTAGCCAGAGCCTGGTGTGAGCCCGGGGTCACGTGCCCATTGTGAAAGTTGGGGACTTGGACGTGTCCTGAGTCCCTGGTCTGGAGGCTTTGTGGCATTCAGGCTATGGTGTGGGACCTCCCCTCAGCCATGACAGGAGCTGCTCGTTGGACATCAGGCCACGCTTGCCTGTGTGCCAGGGCCATAGTTGAAAGTCAAAGCCTGAGGCTGGGAGAGCAGGGAGTGCACAGACCGAGAGGTGACTTGTGGCCATCCTGCTATAACCTTCCCATCTCTCTGTTGTTTTCTGTCTCCCACAACCTCCTGCTGGCTGGAGCCTTTGCTTTCAAACCCACCCTGCTTGTCTGTCATGACTGCCTGGGCACCTGTGCCCAAATGGACCCCTTCCCCTCTTCCCAGTCCCCATCCTTGGCCCCCTCCATCTTATGCACTCACCTGTTCTGCAGATGGCTGGATCGGCCTCAGGGTCTGTGACCAGCTGCAGCTGGGGCAGGGCAGTGCTGGCCCAGGTCCCAGGCTGTCTCTTATACACATCTAGATGTGTATAAGAGACAGGGGTGGGGGGGTGTGGGGGTGTGGCAGGTGCGCGCGTGGGTACGCGCATGGCGGGTGCGCACATGGCAGGTGCTGATGGCGCCCCTTCCAGGTCTGCAACACTGGGGACAAGATGGTGGAGTGCCAGCTGGAGACGCACAACCACAAGATGGTGACCTTCAAGTTCGACTTGGATGGAGACGCACCTGATGAGATAGCCACGTATATGGTGAGGCTGAGTCTAGGTGGCTTGCCTCCTGGTGTTCCTTGGGCATGTGTGGGCCTGAGCAGAGCGCCACAGGTCACATGTCGAGCCTGGCCCTGTGTGGAGGTGTCGGTTGGCCCGGGGGCTTTTCGGGGACAGTGCTGACCTTTTACGCCTCGGGCTCTTCCCCACACTGGGCGGAAACCCCTTGGATTTGGAAGAACAGCTTGAAGGATGTTCTAACCATTCTAAGATGCTGCTCCCTGAGGGCTTCCGGAGCATCCGAGCCCTTCCTCGGATAAATAAAAGGAAGCCTTGTGGGTAGGTTCCTTGAGTGAGGCATGGGGAGGACATCCCGGAGTCTAATGTCCTATGGTCCTTACTTAGAGCTTCTTCCAGCCTCCCCAGCTGGGGTGCGGGTTCTGAGCCCTGACCCACGTCCCATATCCCCTCCCAGCTCTGCTTGCATCTCCCTCTGGAGCCACCCCTCCCTGCCTGTGCAGACCAACCTGAGTCCATGAGCACCTTGTAGGCCTTCACGGCCCCACCCCTGTTGTCCCCAGCACCTGACCCAGGCTAGGAGTGGGGATGGTTTTCGGGCCCTCAGAGACTCTCCATCTGAAAGCACAACGAAGAAACATGGAAAGGATGCACATGTGTTCCTCAAACTTCCTGGTCCATCCGTGACTGCCTCCCAGGAGGACATTCTCCCCAGACCGTTATTCCTGCACGAGTGAGGTTTAGGGAGCCAGGTCCTACAGGGGCCAGCAGCACACTGGACAGTGTTGTAGCGCTCGCTCCAGATGGCCGCCAAGTGCCTGGAGTGGGCTGGCATGAGTAGGGAATAGAATATTCCATTCAAGTTAATAAGATAGATTGCCCCATGTGCCTGCCTGCGGCTGCTGCATTGCACATCATCAGAAAGCTGCCCCCATTGGGCTGCATCCCCTTGACCACCCCTGCCCTGGCTTCATGAAATCCTCCTGTGGGCTTTGCAGGGGAAGCCCCTGGCTTTCTGCTCCTAGGCGGCAAGTCCCTGCCTTAGGGTCTGCTTTGCAGAGACACCCTGGACAAAGCCCTCCCAGAGCCCAGGGCCAGGGCATCGTCCCCTGCAGCGTTAGAGAAATTCTTCTGACGCTTGCTACAGTGGTCGCGAAGACTTTATTCAGGACTGTGGCAATGGGCGAGAGAGAATGAGTTTAACTCCGAATGCAGCAGACACCACAGGGGATTGGTAGCAGAGGAGCAGCATGGTGATGGGTGGCTGGAAAATAGCTAAGAGGAGACATCAAGGTTGGGGATTCTGGAGAAACTCTCGTAACAGGATCGGTGCTGCGGGCAGGTGAGAGGCTTTGTTCAACCTCAAAGGTGGGAGATGAGGAATATGGTCAGATACAAAGGCTGGGAATTCTTGCTACAACTGGCTTAGGCCGAAGACATGATGGGGCCTAGTCAAGCCTATTTGGAGGGTCAGAGGCGCCAGCTGTGCGTCAGTCAGGGAGGAGCCTTTGTCAGCAGCAGGCGGCTGGTTCGTCAGTGCAGCACGAACACCAGGTCCTCGCTGGGCTGCTGAAACTGGAGAACATTTCTTCTCTCATCTTACTGTTTTTTTAACCTGTGTCTTGTATTACTTTATACACACGTGTTTCAAACAGGATAAAGCATAATAATAAGTGCATTCCCGTGAAGTTATCACTCAGCCACCGGCTGATGCTGCGTGTGCGGCTGACGCTGCGTGTGCGGCTGATGCCTCCAGCGCCCGTCTGCCGGAGCAGGAAGCCACACACGCGACATCAGCCACATCGGCCTGTGTCGTATCCACTGGCCCCCTGGTTTTCAGTCTTCTTGTGTGTCTCTGTGTGTGAGTCTGTGAGCTGCACACATGTAAGTCCTGCACAGTAAGCAATGCGGCTATCTTTAGCTGTGTGCTTTGTAAAAATAGCATCTTCTCAAGCCTTGTTTTTTTCACTCAGCACTCGGATACTCCTCTCATTTTACTGCTTTTTCTGTCATCTTAGTAAACCAAGTCACCTAACATACCTGTCTGAAGTAAGCATGCTACAGATACACAAATTTGGTCTGTAAAAACAGTCCAGCAGCCCTCCTCCTCGTAGCCTGTTCCTATCCCAGGGACAGACTGGCTCCAGGGACTCAAGTTGAAGGGTGGGTATGTGGCCAGCGGGACAAGCTTCTGCCCTGTGGACTGTCTTCCTGTGAGCGTGAGGTACCGGCTGTCCTGAATGTCCCATCAGTGGTTAGAGGTAGGCAGGCCTTGGATTCATCGTTCTGACCATGACGACCTTGCCAGCCCCTTAGTAAAGGTGGAACTGCAGAAGTTTCATTTAATTGGCATGGATTCTAATGCCAGGTTTTACCTGGACCTTGTAGTTTTAGATTTTTGTTTTGTTTTCAAGTTAATTTTATTCTCAACATACTTAAAAAGAAACATAATATGAAAACATTTTCTAGTTGCAAAGGGGTTCTAGTTCAGTTTTGTTTAGTGAAAGTTTCACAAAATTGGAACGTTGCTTAAATTCTCATATGTGGCACTCCAGTCACAGCTGGCTGGATGCTCCAACTTTGGCCACAGTGTACTCCTCTTAGACAACATCGCAGTCACATGCTACACTAAATTAAGCAGTGAATCACGGAACACAGCACAAGCCAGCACTTCGTTTAGGGGTATATGCAGGTGGTGCTGCTGGGGTTGGGGTCTGGGGTGCCAGGGGAGTGTGGAGCGCAGAGGAGCTCTGCTTTGCAGCCAGCTCGTTATAGTATAGGGCAGATGTGCCCATCCCAGAAGGGATCTGAGACCACGGATGCCCCAGGCAGGGCCTAGAGCATCTTGGTGACTGCAGAGGTGAGTGCGTGGGAGGAGGTACCATGGCAGGAAAGGGGCAAGGTCTGGACCCCACTGGGTGGTGGCACAGGCTGAACTCTTTCATTGGTATGGTTTTATGAGATGCATAGCATTCTCTCTGCCTGAGTGGCCAAGGATGTAGCCAGAGCCTGGTGTGAGCCCGGGGTCACGTGCCCATTGTGAAAGTTGGGGACTTGGACGTGTCCTGAGTCCCTGGTCTGGAGGCTTTGTGGCATTCAGGCTATGGTGTGGGACCTCCCCTCAGCCATGACAGGAGCTGCTCGTTGGACATCAGGCCACGCTTGCCTGTGTGCCAGGGCCATAGTTGAAAGTCAAAGCCTGAGGCTGGGAGAGCAGGGAGTGCACAGACCGAGAGGTGACTTGTGGCCATCCTGCTATAACCTTCCCATCTCTCTGTTGTTTTCTGTCTCCCACAACCTCCTGCTGGCTGGAGCCTTTGCTTTCAAACCCACCCTGCTTGTCTGTCATGACTGCCTGGGCACCTGTGCCCAAATGGACCCCTTCCCCTCTTCCCAGTCCCCATCCTTGGCCCCCTCCATCTTATGCACTCACCTGTTCTGCAGATGGCTGGATCGGCCTCAGGGTCTGTGACCAGCTGCAGCTGGGGCAGGGCAGTGCTGGCCCAGGTCCCAGGCTTGGAGAACGGAGTTGCTTCTCAAGATGAGGCTGTTCTCCTCTCATCCTGGGGCCATCCATGTCACCTGCTGTGCTGTCTAGCCTCTGTCTTGGGGACCACACCCTTTTACCATGTCTTCCCAGGGTAGACATCCGTCAATCTGGATGAAGACCCAGGGCGGTCTTGGCTTGTGGGCGGTCCTCACCGGCAGTATGTCCCTTTGCAGGTGGAGCATGACTTCATCCTGCAGGCCGAGCGGGAGACGTTCATCGAGCAGATGAAGGATGTCATGGACAAGGCAGAGGACATGCTCAGCGAGGACACGGATGCTGACCGTGGCTCTGACCCAGGGACCAGCCCGCCACACCTCAGCACCTGTGGCCTGGGCGCCGGGGAGGTGAGGTTGTGAAATCGGGGTGGGATGTGGCGAGAGTGCAGTGGCTGGGCAGGTGGGCGCTGCAGCTCAGTGAGCTCATTTCTGACCCTCTACCTCATTCAGGAGAGCCGGCAATCCCAAACCAACGCCCCCGTGTATCAGCAGAACGGTGAGTCTGCAGCTTCCCTCCCTGCTTTTAGCAGGCATTTGATCAAAGTCCTCGCTCAGCATCTTATCAGGGGTTTGGCCATTGCATGGGGGGATTATGGAAGCATGTGGTGACCAGGGGCCCCAGTCTGGGGACAGCTGCCCCGTCTGAGGAGCTGTCATCTGCAACCAGCATCAGGCCTTCATGGATGGTGCCCTGGGCATCCCAGGAACCAAGCCTATGCCAGGGGTCCTCTTGGGAGCTTCGGGGGCTGCCAGTGAGGCACCCCGGGTCGGCTGTGCACCTCTTGCCCTCTGGTGTGAGGGAAGAGCAGGCAGAAGCCAATCACCAAGGCCTCTTTACCAAGGGGCCTGGGGAACCCACCTGCTTCATGGAGGGAAGTGATGGGGATTAATGACTGGGAACAGTGTTCTCTGCCCACACCCTTCCTGGAGAAAATCCCATAAATGTAAAGGAGTTCCCCAGACCCACTGTGGCAAGTCTGGTGCAGGTGATGGGGGTCACACCGGCCTGGAGACGCTCACTCACTCAGCATGCTGTTTCTGTTCTGCCCTTCAGTCTTGCACACTGGGAAGAGGTGGTTCATCATCTGTCCGGTGGCTGAGCACCCCGCCCCTGAGGCCCCTGAATCTTCGCCCCCACTTCCTCTCAGCTCCATGCCTCCAGAAGCCAGCCAAGGTATGAGCAGCCCGCGCCCACGCAAACCCCTCCCTGTTTCACGTGCAGGCCTCCTTCTGTGCATGACCCAGGTATGTGCACAGTGCCCAGGGCTATGCAGGGCGCTCACCCTGCCCTGTCACCCATGGCACAGAGAAGCCTGTGGGGCTGTGTTCCTATCCCTGTTTTCTGCCGAATCAGCTCAGTCAAAGCAGCCTCCAGGTTTGAGTCTGCTCTGTTACCCCACCAAGCAGGTGGCTCGCATGGCCACACAGGTGTGTGTTGAAGATCTCCACTGTCCTTCCTTCACAGTGTTAACCTGGCAACTCCTTGCTCCTGTCCCTTTCCTCTGCGCCGCACACCTGCAGCAGACACGCCTCTGCTGATTCTGCTTGCTTTGGGGGGTGGGGTGGGAAAGTCCCTGCTGGCGCTGAGATTCTGATTTTAAAGTGTTCACACAGACGTTTATCACTGTGCATTGATCTGCACCTGCACCTGCCTGTACCGATGCCAACAAGCCCATGCTTTGGGCTGTCAGTTAAATCTTGATAGTCCTTTGGGAGGCTGAAAATAGTCACTTGAACAAATTTAAGGTTTAATTCCCTATCAGTTGGCAGGGGTAAGTTACTGATTATATAACTTGACATAACCTTATGGCACATTCATAAAAAATATCTGTAAATCATTTTTAATTTCATATCATGTGCTTCCAGTGACTCCCATTATCTTTTGGAGATTCGTTCCCATGGGGGACAGGTCAGCCTAATAACAAAATCCAAATGAAGCAACGAGCTGAAACAAGGTGACCTCAGGTAAAAGGCTTGGGCCCAGCCTGGGCTGAGAAATCGGAGAGAAGCAGCCTTGCCTACAAGATTGAATTTTTAAATAAGTATATGTTCATATATTACTTCTGGATTTAAATACATACACACCAAATTATAAGAAAAACCCTTCTAAGAGCTAATTTTTCCTGTGACGTAGGGGTGCAGGGGACACTGTGGTGTAAGTTTAGGGGACAGTATGGTTCATAGAAAGAAGTTAAACCCTCTTTCCTTCATCTATGCACTGAGTGACCTCAGGAAACCTGTTAGAGCTGGTTTCTTTCTGTATTAAAAAAAAAAAAAAAGGGAAAATTGGTGGCAGATCTGTTAATTTAGATTAACCATCTACTGAGAATAACCAAAAAATGATAAACGTCATCTGTGTGAAGGCATTTGAAATCTGATCATAGTGGAGAATTATTAGGCTGGGATCCAAGGAAGGATGGAGACATAGGGACGTGAACCTAGTTTTGGCTCCTTTTCCCCAGGGAGCATCTCTCATTCCTGCAGGGGTGGCTAAGAGGCTGTGTGGCTTCAGCAGCCTCAGCAGGCTAGAGAAAGGGAGCTTATAGAGTCCAGGGCCCTGAGGGTGGTCTTGCTGAAGTGCTGTTCTGGAGAAGGAAGGACCAGCTGGAAGGAGACAGGCCTGCAGAGAGAGGAGCCCACCTCAGAGCATCTCAGCCCCTCATTAGGATGGTCTTGGAGTGCTGTGGGTTCAGGCATGTGCACGAAAGTCCTTTCTGCAGGAAGGAATATTATTCTGGGCCTCACGTGACTTGTATGAACAATTTTGTGAATATAATATCTGGCACATAATAAAAATGACCAAAGAGTTGGGTTCTGGGTAAGGTAGAGGAAGCACACACACTCATTTTTCTTTCCACTGAAATGCACTGTAAATCCTGGACAGATGTGTGGCATAGCTGTCTGAGTACTTGGGAAAATTTTAGCAATGGGAAGATTGGGGACACACCCCAGAATTCAAAGTGCCACTGAGCTGCTGGTGAGTTGAATGTTTTCCTCTGATATTTCCTGGTTTGAACAAAGTACAGCCCAAGGACCAGAAGCAAATGCTTTGGTGCAGGCAGGAAAGCCTCCAGGAGAGATCCTGTAGTTCCAGCTCCCAGACCAGGAAAGGCAACTCCTAAAGCTCAGAGAAGAGAGAGAACCCCTCCCCATTTCTCACCCCGCTTCTCTTGCACCAGCACCCAGACAGTTCTGGAGGTAACAGGAGCAGCAGGTAATAGGAACATGCAGGAGCCAAAATAGTGAGAGCAGAGAACCGTTCTTTATTTGAGGAAGCCAGGGCTCTAGGAGCACAGAGCCAAAACCTGTCGCATTTTTTTTTTCTCTGTCCTCTTGCCACCTTGTCATTCATGGCACAGTTACAGAATTGGGTGGTTTCTGTTCAGAGGTTTGGAAAGGTGAGTCCTAGGGAACCAGGAAGTATCATGGAGAGCACAGAAAAGGAGTTTGGAAAAGTAACCCTGTAGTTGTTTATGGACTCCTGGGCTCACCCCCAACCTGTGCATGCATGCATCTGATCCTAATAGCATGTAAGAAACTTTGGCAACTGAGCTAATGAGTAGACCTCGCCCAGGTTCCAGTACACCTGTTTCAGATGCGATTAGTACTGCGAAGGCATTAAAAGTGGAACTGACCTGTAGCCACAGCCCATAGAAGGCAGGTTGCAACTTGCAGTCTGAATCTAACTAGGTTGATTGCCTACTGAAGCAAAAATATTAACATTCATCATAGGGTTTGAACAAGTCTCAGGATTTCCTAATGTCATGAAAATGTTCAGAATAGAATTAGAAATAATTTGGCAAATGAAAAGCCATGAAAATGTTAACTTGCATGGAAAAAGATAGCCATGGTGCCAGTGACAAGATGATGTAGATTTTGGGATGATCTGACAAAAACTTTAAAGTAACTGTTATAAATATAACTGAAAAAGCAGTGACAAACATTCTTGAAACAAATGATAAAGTAGAAAGTATCTGCAAAGAAACAGAAGATGCAAAGAAGAAACAAATGGAATTTTTAACATTGAAAGTTAAAATACCTGAAATCGTCCAACTGGAAAACAGGGGAGAAAGATAGAAAAAAATAAACAGAGCTTCAAGAAACTGTGGAACAATAACTAAAGGGCTGACTTGTGTGTCATTAAAGTCTCAAAAGGAAAAGAAAAAGAATGTAGTGCTGAAAACATATTTGAAGAAATAATGCTAAAAATCTCCCAAGTTTGGTGAAAGACATAAGTCTACAGATTCTAGAAGCTAAGCAAACCCCAAATAGGTTAAATGCAAATCAATCTGCTGAAAAGTAACGACAGCCAGACCCAAATTATGCGTTACCTAGATTGGAACAGTGATTCGAATGACTATAGATTTCTCACCAGAAGGTGTGGTGTTCAGAAGAAAGCAGCAGGCCATTTTTAAAATGTTGAAAGAAAAAACTGACCATTCAGAATTCTGTTTCCAGGGAAAATACCCTTCAAGAATGAGGCTGAAGTAAGGCCATTCTCAAATAAAGAAAACCAAGGGAATACATGGGCTGCACATCTACTCTAAAATTAGAATTACTAAAGATCTTCAGGCAGAAAGGAAATGAGACTAGGAGATAACCTGGAATATCCGGGCTGAAGGAAGAGCAACAGAAGTTGTAAATATAATAGACTATTCTTCTCCTCGAGTTCTTTAAAACATTTCTGACAATTGAAGTAAAAAAAAGATTGTAACAATGTTTGATAGAGCTTTCAATGTATGAGGATGTCATATATAACACAACTATGATATGGCAGGTTACCTATACATTACTACATTCCAATTCAAGTGATAGACTACTAATT